CAACAACGATTGGACCGGGGCCAGTGCATTTTCTGCGGTGACCCGGGGCATATCATCAAATACTGTCCTAAGTATCGAGAGACCCGAACGGCTGCTCAAGAGCCAAAAGGCAGCCGCCGGTAGGGGTAGCAACTGCCCCTACCACTAGGCCATGTGGGGAAAATAGCGCTAGCCGGCAGGAGACTCCCACACCACATGTGCCTATGGCAGAGGTTGCAAGCCGGTGTCTAGACAACTGTCCCGAGATTGCTTGTGTTAGAGTTTCGCTAGACACCTCCCTCACGGGCGTGGCGGAAGAACTGAAGGAGAGGATGCCCGTCTGGGCCAAGATGAAGAAGGAGAATAAAGAGCAGCTTATATTGTTAGATACAGAGGTTATTAGAAGTAGAGTAGGGGCCCTAGTAGATTCAGGGGCCACCCGCAACTATATTAGCAGGAAAGTGCTGCAGAAGTTGAAGCTGGGACTTAAAGTCCAAAAGCTAGCAGACCCCATAGTCAGTATCCTCGCAGACAATCGTACTATGGTTGTAGAGGAGTACGTAGAGGGAGTCCAGGCGTATTTTCGCCTAGAGAAGAATGGGAAAGTGGAGAAGGTCCTCCACTCCTTGACTCTCCTCGTAGAAGACAGCCTCCCATTCGATATTGTCCTGGGAATGGATTGGGGAGAGGCAGCCGGGGCCACGCTCCATTTGAAGGAGCATGAGTGTAGGCTCCCTAGTTCGTCAGGCGAGGCGAAGACCGCCCGCCTGTTCCATGTGTCCGGGGTAGAGAATTCCTTGGCACATTGTTGCCTTAGTGCCCCCGCGTTCGCCAGATTGGTGAAAAAGGAGAAACTAGAGGAACAGGTTTTTGTCGCCTATGTCAGGCCAGCGACTGAGCCTACGGAAGAGAAGCCGATGGACACTGCGATTGCCAAGCTGCTGGAGGAGTTTAAGGATTTGACTGAGCCGCCGACATGCACGGTGCCGCGGCCCATCCAACACCGTATCGAGATAGAGCCTGGCAGTAGAACTAAGGGTGTTGTGTATAGGATGTCCCCGCGGGAGTTAGAGGAGCTTCGCAAGCAATTAGACGAGCTCCTCGTGAAGGGTTGGATTAGGCCCACTTCGTCTCCTTTCGGAGCGCCTATTCTCTTTGTTCCTAAGAAAGAGGGAGAGCTGAGAATGTGCATAGACTATAGGGGTCTGAATGCTATTACAGTAAAGAATGCTGAACCACTGCCTAGGATAGATGATCTCTTAGATCGAGTGCAGGGGGCGAAGTATTTTTCCAAGATAGATTTGAAGTCCGGATATCATCAGATAGAGGTGCATCCTGATGATCAGTATAAGACAGCCTTCCGGACTAGATATGGGCACTACGAGTTCATAGTGATGCCCTTTGGACTAACCAATGCGCCAGCTACGTTCCAGCGTTGTATGAACGATTTGTTTAGGCCGTGGTTAGATAGATTTGTTGTAGTTTATCTAGATGACATCCTAGTGTTTAGCCGGACCCTCGAAGAACATCAGGGTCATCTCAGGCAAGTCTTGGAGAAGCTGAGAGAAGCTAACTTCAAGATCAATGCAAAGAAGTGCGATTGGGCGAAGACCCAAGTTTTGTATCTAGGCCACGTCTTAGACGGAGACGGCGTTAAGCCAGAAGATAGCAAGATTGCAGCAATTAGAGATTGGCCCACGCCACGTACACTGACAGAGTTGCGCTCATTCCTGGGCCTAGCGAATTACTACAGGAAGTTCGTGAGGAACTTCTCCACCATCGCTGCGCCCCTTCGCAGATTGCTRAGAAAAGAGACAATCTGGAAGTGGGACAAGGACTGCACGTCTGCCATGMARAAGCTAAAGCAGGCGTTGATAGAGTATCCGGTCCTTAAGGTCGCCGATCCGTCCTTGCCTTTTGTCGTTACTACGGATGCTAGCCAGTACGACATAGGCGCAGTGTTACAGCAAGACGATGGCAATGGCTATAGACCCGTAGAGTTCATGTCCGCTAGRATGCCTTCAGAGAAGGTTGCGACATCTACCTATGAGAGGGAACTCTGCGCTCTCAGGCAAGCATTAGACCACTGGAAGCACTACTTGCTTGGGAGGCACTTCAAAGCTTATTCGGACCTTGAAACGTTACGATGGTTAAAGACCCAGGCCAAGATGACACCTAAGCTTACTAGGTGGGCCGTAGAGATAGATCAGTACGACTTCGAGCTCAAGTCTGTCAAAGGGAAGTACAACGTAGTCGCGGATGCTCTGAGTAGGAGAACAGATTACTTTGGGGCAATAGTACATTACCTCGATATAGGAAAAGATCTGCAGCAGAAGGTTAGAGAAGCCTACGCGCAGGACCCTATCTATAGTGAGCTCCTCACGCGAGTCAAGGAGGCCCCAGAGACCGAGYCGAACTACCGCACTACTRGAGGRTTACTCTTCGAGAAGACTAATGTCTTTGACCGGTTGTGCATCCCCAATAGCGAAGAGATCCGTAGTCTGATTMTGGGGGAATGTCACGACACAGAGGGTCATTTCGGTTGGCAAAAGACTTTGGCCAATCTGATGCGCGCGTATACCTGGCCAGGGATGAAGAATGACTGCGTAGAGTATGTTCGCAGTTGCAAAGTCTGCCAGCGTAATAAGAGTTCTACGCGCGCCCCGCTAGGTCTTCTCAGACCCTTGCCCATTCCGGATCAGCTGGGAGACTCAGTGTCAATAGATTTCATGGACACTCAAGTCAAGAGCAGGCATGACAAGAGCCAAGTCATGGTCATAGTTGACTGCTTTAGCAAGTACGCAATTTTTGTTCCTTTGCCTTCTGAGGCGCGTACTGATTTAGTCATACAGAGGTTCTTTGACTGTTGGGTTAGTGAGAACGGAATCCCGCTGTCTATAGTTAGCGATAGAGATAGTCGCTTTACTAGCCAGAACTGGCAAGAACTCATGGGAGTATACGGATCTTAGTTGTTGATGTCGTCCGGCCGCCATCCAGAGACTAACGGTCAGACAGAGCAAATGAACAAGATCCTACAGCAAGTTCTGCGCATGTATATTAGGCCAGATCAGATTAACTGGGATGAGATGTTGCCTAAAGTAGCTAGTGCGTACAATAACAGCGTGCATCTAGCCACCTGCCGCACTCCCAACGAACTGCACAAGTCCTTCAGACCGCGCAGACCGTTTGAGGGACTCAACCGGTATCAGATTCAGAGATTGCCCCGGGACCCGGGAGTTCGCTGTACAGCACGAGAAAGAACTAGCTATTGTTGTAGAAAACCTCAGGAAAGCCCAGCATAGGATGATAGAACAAGCAAACAAACATCGTTGCCCTTCACAGTTTCAAGTAGGCGACTTAGTCTGGGTTAGTTCGAAAGAGTTTGCACCTGAGGAGAACATCTCGCAGAAGTTACTGCCCACATATAGAGGACCGTGGCCTGTTCTTGAAGCCAAGGGCGGTGAAGATGGACCGTCCTATACAATAGAACTACCAGCACACCTCCACACGTATCCAGTTTTCCACACATCGAAGTTGCTACCTTGTCAAACAAGTGATCAGTTTCCATCCCGTAGATCAATGGTCCCACCTGATATGGATGGAAGGTATGACATAGACGGTATAGTGGCTGAGGATGTTTTCAGGACCGAAGGTAGGGGTCGTCCGCAAAAACAGTACAAGGTTCATTTTAGTTATCAAGAACCGGAAGACGACCGCTGGTTTACAAGATCTGAACTTCTAGAGACAGCTCCCGATATAGTCCAGGCCTATGAAAGACAGCAGAAGGGTAAAGGTCCTGCCTTGGACTGAAATTTTCTCGGAGGACCTCGAATTTAGGCCGGCGGGAGTGAAATGGTATTCACCAGTTCGCAGTAGCAAATGCAGATCCCATGGCTCGATCCCTAGTTCCCCATCTTACCTGTGTACAGTATTGATGACAACCCGTAGATTTGAACCTGCGACCTGTCGAAACGCCAGTGGTAGGTAGATTGTCGTAGGTCACAGCTTAGAAGGGAATCGAACTGTAGACCTGTAGGGTAGGAGTCTAGACAGTTCCGAAGTCGTAGCTGTAGGATGTCTGAAGGGTCAAGGACGTAGCTGCTACTTACCTGAAAGGGCAAAGTCGTAGCTGCTACAGTACCGAAAGGCCAAAGTAGGAGTTTCTAGAACTGGCCTTTCGAAGTCAGCCCCTGTTTAGGCCGAGGCAAGTGGGCAAGTGGTGTAGGTCCATTACGCAGAGTCAGCAGTCCCAGGTAGCCCAGTCCGGTCCAGTCAAGCAAGTACCCTCTGGGACTGTGCACATCGTGGGCCAAGGGATACAGGGCAGACCATCGCCGCACAGAAGTATAAATCAAGAGGCTGCGTCCAGCCATTCATTCATTCCTGCGGATGCCATGCGGAAGCGCTGCCTCAGCAGCTTGTGCGAGGAGGTCTGCAGTGCGCCCGAAGACGAAGCGGGCAGTGAAGTGTAGCGTAGCGATAGGATAGTGGCAGCCATAGCTGCCATAGCTGTAGTACAGTGTGTGTGTGTGTTGCGTATGAGCACTGAGTGTTGCGTGTGGGACATCCAGGGTGATCCAGAGTGCGAACAGTGAGYTGTGTGGGCGCTCAGTCGCCATAGCCAGTTTGAAGGGAACTCCTACCTGGTTACGATATCTTTGAGTACTGTRTGGGCGCATGTCGCCAGTTTGCTGTTTTGCAGTTTGCATGCATGACAAGTGTGAAGAAGTCGAGTCTGATTGCATGGTTTACCATCTCTGTTTCTGGTACGAGCATCCATGAGACAGAGAGAGAGAGGAACTCCTTTTGCTGCTTTTTGTTTTTGTTAGGGCTCGGCCATCTTCTTCAGCTGTCTCTTCTTTTCCAGTATGAGAGAGAGAGAGAGAGAGAGAGAGAGAGAGAGAGAGAGAGAGAGAGAGAGAGAGAGAGAGATGCTCGTAGTGTTTGGTGTTTTGTCCTTTATCCGTTTATGGTCGTTTTCGCTCGGAGCGTGTTTTTCCCACAGAGAGAGAGAGAGAGAGAGAGAGAGAGAGAGAGAGAGAGAGAGAGGGGANGAGAGAGAGAGAGAGAGAGAGAGAGAGAGAGAGAGAGAGAGAGAGAGAGAGAGAGGGGCTCAGGGCTCATATTCTGTTGTTCTTTATCATCCTTTTTTAGTGTTTTAGATTTCTTTCGTTAAGTGTTTCGCTTGCTTGCGGAAATAATGAAATCCCGTCTGATATGAAGCATTTTGGCCAATTGTCTGTGTTTTCTTTATCTGTTTACTGGTGGCATAAGTGGTTGTGTGTGTGTGCGTGTTATGTACCCGATTGAACTTCAATCCACAACAAATTCACACGTTCCCATACACTCATCCAATTGCAGAGTAGACTCGAAGGAGGCAATCCACACAAAACTGGAGAGAAGGTATGCACAGTGGAAGCTCAAAATACCCAGAGAATTGAAAAACGAGTTTCAATTCTGCAATCCCTCGTCCTCCTCCGATCAATCCAGAGTACTTGTTCCAAGAATCACAACCGCGTTTACAACAGCCCCGAACAACCCAAAAACAAGTATCCAACGAAGTCTACAGGAGTCTTCTTCTTCCTCCTAGCCACCTCATACCCCTGGCTATGGCTGCCGTAGCAGCAGTAACCCCACAGCCGTCACAACCTGCCAGACTGAACCAGCAACCCCAATAATACCAGTGCCAGCTCAGCTCCTGCACGGCAGTGCAGCGTTGGAAGTCCTGATGAAGAAGGAGACAACCAATCCAGTACTTCGAAGAAGACAAAAACGAAGTTCCTCTTGAGGAGGAACAGCAAATATGGCTGCCAAGTGTAAAAGGCAGCGCCCAAACCCAAACAACACAGTCCTGGTGAAGCTCTTGAGCAGAGCTGCTGATAGCAGCAGTGCTATCTCCAACTTTGTGTCCCAGCCCCAGCTATGGCTGGGCTTCGAGGAAGAAGATGTCCTCGCCCAAAATAACGCAGCAACGCTTCTGCCACGAGCGGGCAGCGTTCTCCCAGCAATAGTATCGAGAAAAGACCCGACCCAAATTTCCTGCCGGCTACTTCTACCCTCTGCCTAGACCTACGACGGACTGACCAATCAACAACCCAAGACTCACCTGTATCTAGATTGAAACAGGGGAAAAGGGGACCTAGACCTATCACAAAGGAAAAGGCATAGGCCGAATGGCCTGACTACCAAACAGACTACTAGTAGCTGACTCAGGGATCAAGTCCCATACAGCTCAACACTCACAAACAAGACACACAGATCGCAGGTCACGGGCTCAAAACAGGCAAACAGCAAACAAACAGGCAACACAGCAGGCAAAGGTTGCGGGATCAAGTCCCACCAACAACGACAGGGGCAAAATTACTGTACAGCCCGCTTGTAGCAATGCAATTCATTGCATGTGTGTGTGTGTGTGTGTTTGTGTGTGTGTGTGTGTGTGTGTGTGTGTGTCTGTGTGTGTGTGTGTGTGTGTGTGTTTGAGAGAGAGAGAGAGAGAGACAGACAGAGAGCTCAGACCAATTTCTGCATGCCTGGAGAAGACAGAAGCTCGGGGGCAGAGGAGGGTAGAAAGTGAGGGAAGATGTACTGTTGAGATATGGAGGATAGAGCAGAGCTTGCAAGCAAATGAATAATGACGTGGGCAAAAGCAATGCTATTGGTACACATCAGCTCACCAACCAAGGAAAAAGAAGAGTAAAATGTATGTACTAATAAAAACTGGGCGCTGGATTCGCCTGTAGAGACCTGGATGATTTGGGATAATACGGATATGAGCCACTCACATTATGAGCCAGTGAAACTTGAACGGAACAGACTGCATGGTGGTTCTTTTCAGTACCGTGGCTAGTGAGCATGCCAGCATGGACCACAAGGACCAACGGACTCAGTTCTCTGTGTGCATGAGTCAGTGAAACTCGAACGAAAAAGTCTGAACATTAGTGCTTTTCGGTGTTTTGTTTAGTGAACATGACAACTCGGACCGAGGGAAAAACCAACAGAGTCACTTTTCTATTTGTGTGTGACTGAGGCTGCAGATACATGACCAAAAGATAGCGTAACAGATGAATGCACAGTGGTATCTACTCTCTGCTCTACTCTACACTACTCTCTACTCTACCCTACACTATGCTATCTGCTCTACACCACTCTTCTATGTTCTCTACTCTATTCTGCACCACTCTCTACTCTCTGCTCTACTCTACTCTAGTGTCTACTCTATTACTCTCTACTCTCTACTCTCTACTCCAGTCTACACTACTCTCTACTCCACTCTACACTACTCTCTATTCCGCACCACTCTACACTACTCTACACTTTCCTCTCTACTCTGCTCTCTAATCTTCTCTCTACTCTACTCTTTTCTCTCCACGGTCTGCTCTCCACGCTCCATTGTCCACTCTCTACTCTCTACTCTACACTATTCTCCACTGTCTACTCTCTACTCCACTCTACACTACTCCCTACTCTACACTGCTCTGCACCTCTCTCTCCACTCTACACTGCTCTACTCTCTACTCTCTATTGCCTATTCTCTACTCTCTACTCTCTACTCTCTACGCTCTACTCTACTCTCTACTCTCTACTCTACTCGCTACTCGAGTATAATTCTCTGCCTCTACTCTGCCCCACTCCACTCCACTCTACTCTACTACTACACTACTCTACTACGCTACATGTACTCTACTCTACTACTACACTACTCTACTACGCTACCTCTACTCTACTCTACTCTACCCTACCCTACTCTACTCTCCTCCACTCCACTCCATTCTGATCTCTAATCTACTCTATTCCATTTTCTACTACGC